CATAGCTGTAATCCCAGCACTCTGGCAGGCTGTGCAGGAGGATCACAAGCTCAAAGCCAGTGTGGGGAACTCGGTGACTTAGGCAAACACTGTGAAAGAAGGGGTATGGGGAGGAAGGAAGGAGAAGAAAGGAAAAAGTAGGGTTTCAGTGTGAACATCCTGGATTCAATCCCTAGTACTAGGGAGAGAGGGAGAGAGAGAGAGAGAGAGAGAGAGAGAGAGAGAGAGAGAGAGAGAGAGAGAAGCAAAAACAAAACTGTCAAATAGCAATCCCCTGTCAAAGTCCTCTCTGTCTCAGCTTCTCATTACTCAGAGAAAGTTATTTCCCATTTTGTGGCTCTCTCTTTTGGTATTTGTGTCCATTTTTAAAATACTTCAGTTGTACAACTAGTAGTTCATGCTCTTTGGATTTAGACACTATTTAAGGACACCTTATTATGGAACATGAAGAGACTTGGCTATATACTCCCAAGGATCTTCCTATAAAGCAAATATTTTGCTAATCCCCCTGCCTGAGAGCCAGAGTCCAGCCCCTGGGCCTGAGGACAGCTGAAGCATCGACGACACTTGACTGCAGCTTCTGGAATATCCGGCTCCAAAGTACACACACACTGCAGCTGCATCCTCCCGAGAGCACTAAAAACCACCCGTCTAGCTCCAAAGATGCTAGTCCCGTTTTAACATGATTTTTAAGATTCTGTAGCAGTCGTTAAATCACTGAGTTTTAATGGACCAAACTTTACCAAAAGAACTTGGAAAAACATTTATATAAAGCAGACATCACTTGCCTATAGCCCTAGCACCCTGGTGGCAGGAGCAGGAGGACTGCAGTGTGAATCCTGACTGTGTGACCTCAGAGAGACCCTTTGTCAAAATAAAAAGTACAGGAAAAAAAAAAAAAAAAAGAGTTGGGGATGTAAACTTGGTATAAACGCACTGGAGTCAGTCCCCAGGACTACAAAAAGCAAAGTGAAACAAAACAAAAACAGCAAGAACCCCTTAAAACTGTGTACCCTTTAAGCTGTCCCTGAAAGTGAGAAACAGAGCAAATGAAGAAAATACGAAGACCTTGGGCAGGACACACGAGATCTGGGGATCAGCGCCTCATTCACTGAACACCTACAGAGGGACGTCTGCCAGCCTGGAGAGACCACAGCGACACACAGCGTGCTTGTAGCCCACTGGGAGAGTATCCACTCACTCAGCAAGTGAAATATGAAAGAGAGAAAGGCAGGCTTTCAAAGGGCAAGAGAAAATAAAAGTGCTATCAGATTTTAAAGGAGAAAGAACAATTATAATTGGGTGAGGGAGGAGTAGGAAACGGAGGGCAAACAGCCCCAAACTTAGAGCAGGTACGAGTCAGCAATTTCTGGTGGCAGCTCTGGTAAGAAAGACACAGGCAGGTTCCTAAGGTGTTTGCCTCCAGGAATGCAGCTTGCTTTCCCATCCTGAGAAGTCAGGACGACAAGCTGGGTCAGGGGAGAGCCGCGAGGGCTGGGAAGGCGCAGGCATGGGCAGCACAAATGGAGAGCCTCTGAACCCATACGAGCACTCCACAGGGCAGCTACAGAAGGGCACCCTCTTCCTCTAGGGCCAAAGACCCCAGGCGGGGGATATAGCCAGCAGCACAACCCCTGCCGGGCAAATGCAAGGTCCTGAGTTAGATTTCCCAAGGAAGGAAGGAAGGAAGGAAGGGAGGGAGGGAGGGAGGGAGGGAGGGAGGAAGGAAGGAAAGAAGGGAGGGAGGGAGGGAGGAAGGAGGAAGGGAGGGAGAAAGGAAGGCAAGAAGGGAGGGAGGCAGGCAAGAGAGAGAGAGAGAGAGAGAGAGAGAGAGAGAGAGAGAGAGAGAGAACGCCAGCCCAGACTCAGTCTTTTCTAAGAGGTTATTCAGCTCCTAGCTCCCCAGGCTCAAGGGCACAGGCCTGGCATCAGCTTGGCTCTGGTGAAGGCTGCACTGCAGATGGCATCACCATGGCAGGGCCGGGCGAATGGCAGAGTACATGGTGAAATGGGAAGGCCATGCACGCAAACGACTCTCTCAAAAATGAACTGGGGGTCACACGAGAACTGTGTAATCTCCTCTGAGCACAATGCCCCATGACCTAAACCCTCTGGTTACCAGGGTCTACCATCTCTCAACATCGCCACTGTGGGTATCAGGCTTCCAACACAGGAATCCTTGAGGTCACAAACCACAGCATTCCCAGCGTCACGCACTAAGGAATGTCTATGCTCTCACATCCATGTGGATGTCACCCATAGTATCCTGTTTCCCCCCTTGTTCCATGCCACCTCCTGAAACAGGGAAGCCCTGGCTCCGGTGGCGGAAGTAGAAAAGATACACCCCTGGTTTCTCCAGTTACAACTCCAAAGGTTTTCCCTAATTCTGGTCCATCTTAAGTTGCAGGAGGGTCTGATCACTATTTATAACCCTTCTTTGATAAATGAGTTCCTAATTCTAAACATCTGTCTTCCCAGTAAGTTTCAGAACACAACAAAACCTGGGAAGCTGTAGACTACACAGGAGATGAAGTAGTTGTTCATTTCCTTGCTTTCTGAGTTTCAGAATTATTTATAATCTTGAGCAAGAAAGCTTAGTAGCAAGGAGCCCACAAACAAATGGGATGCTGGCAGGTTAACCACCCCCCCTCCCCCATTTTCCACCAGTGCGTTGCTAAGGGCCAATGGTTTTTCCTGGGGAAGGAAGGTAGCACTATGAATAGGTCCTTGTTTGTAAACAAATGGAAGCCAGGCCCGACAGAAGATGCAATTTAGCAAGGGGAGCTCTTTCTCCAGAGATGATCCAAGTATCTAGAAGCAACAGGCCTGTTGCTCAACTTTGCAGGCATCCTGCCTTACCCTAAAGGATGAAACTTAGAGGGATTCTGGCTTCCATCATCCCTCTCCTCTCGCCCTCTCCTGATTCTATAAATCACTTCTGGCAGGTAGCTGGGAAGCAGCTGCGAAGGGACAGTTTTGCTCTGGAGCGCAGGAAGCCACCTTTTAACCCGCCTGCTGTTGTTTGTCTCCCAAAACGTGACAAAAGAACAGATGTAAGCAACATGCCAACTGCTGAGAGGATCTGCTTGGAGCACTGGAGGAAGCCTGCGCAGACCCATGCCGCACCAGGGGAGGCCAGCCTGGCCCAATTCCTGCAGCCCTAGGAACACAGGCATGCATGCTCTGCTGCTTGGGATGGGCAGCGCCCAGACAAATCACCACTCACACGCTTGCTTCTGCAGTGGTCTCTGGGCTCCCTAATCTTAAAGCCCTACCAGAACCCAGCTCAAAGGCCTGAGTTCCTGCAGGCCTCACCTCGCAGAGCTCCTTCCCTCATCTCTAAGCCAAACGACTCCCACAGGCCTCAGTCTGTAGGCCCCTCCTGTCCCAGGCTCATCTCTGCAAGGGTCCTGTTTTCCCAGTAAGTTTCTTGCTGCCAGATTGGAGCCATGGCTTGGACATCTTCTTATTCCCAAAGTAGCATGTTTTATATCACTAGCGGCAAATGACCAGTGAGCTGGGAAAGAAGTTTAAGGGGAAGCGCCCAACATTTTAAAATACTATAGGAAACAAAAGCTGGCTTATGTCAGTTTTGGGATAACTGGGTAACTATGAAATAGATATTAGATGACATGGAATTCTTATTAATTTTCTGAGGGGCTGAAAAAGGTGCCCAGGAGAATGTGTTGTTGCTTTTTAAAATTACCTTTGCTAGAATGTATTTTTTTTGAAACAGTTTGGCTTTAAAGCAAAATCGGAAGTGAAAGCTACAGTTTTTCCTTATACTCCTTCATCTCCCAGGAAGCGTCCAGTACCGAAGAATACAATTGTTGCCACCCATGAATTGTCCTGACACCTGCTTACCAGCCAAGTCCACAGTGTGCATTAGGGCTGGGCTCATTCTTGGGCTTGCACATTCTCTATGTTTGTGCAAGTACAAAGTGATTCGCATTTACCATTATACTACCATACAGAGTAGTTTCACTACCCTAAAATTCTTCTGTAAATGTCTTTTTTCTAAGGAAATACATGATGAAGAATTAGGGGAAATTTAGTTTCAGATGGATCAGCAAAAAAATTTGCGTCTGTGCACAGGGACTGCTATATATATTTAATTATATGTACTGGCAAGAACTAGGCAAATGTGTCAAAAGCGTTACAACTGCTGAATCTAGAAATACATCCATTGGTATTCGGTATGTTAATTTTTTTCCTGTTGGAAAGTTTTGTAACACAACCACAAAAGAAAATGGAAACCAAAAACAAAATCAGCATGCCGAATTTCATGAAGTAGGGTTTTCTTTTAGGTACCAACTGAAAGGTGTCACAAAAATGCATTTCTTACTGTGGGTCAAAGCTCTTGCTTGGAAAATGCTGCCTGACAGCCACTTACGGCTCCTGTACAGCACAGGCAGGCAACGAACTGCTGCTTAACTCACTACTAGAGGCACAAGGTTTAAGTGAAGAGGCAAGCTGAGAAAGAAATCATTTGGTCTCCAGTTACTACTTCCCATTGACTCAAGCAGTGTCAAGACAGCCAAGCTCGGGCTTCCTCCCAGAGCACATCAGGCCTGGCCCCAGCAAGGCCTCCCTTATCAGATGGGGATCACTCACCAGGAAGGGTACCTAAGGTTCCTCCCCACATTAGGCAGCTGTGTGGGAGCCACACAGGGTGACGACCAAATGTCTTGGTCTGTCTGGGATTGATGAGGTGTCACCCAGCACCAGGGACTCTTGGGTGCTAAAAGTGGGCCATCCCAGGCAAAGAAGAGCAGCCAATCACTGAATCAGAGAGCAGGCTCTGGATGGACCGCAGACAGATCCAGGCGAGCCACACTGCTGTGCCATGTGGCAGCTGGGAGTGGGCAGCGAGAGGAAGCCCAGCATGCAAGACCTGGGAAACAGCGCACATCAGGGTGACGGTGTCCTCACGCCCTTTGCGAACCTTCCTCTGCTCACTCGCCACCTAACGCGGAAAGCAGAGGACAAAGGAAACTTACTGTAAAAACATCGTCATCACCAAGCTCAGCTTCATTATGGATGGTGGAAGATGAAGTTGTTGAGCCTAGAAAGACAAAAATGCAGTAAAAATGTGTCTCCCACTGAAGTCAAAACCACTCATTCAGAGCGTATTTTATTTATTTTTGATGGTACAAGGGATCGAACTCTGGACCTTGTGCTTGCCAAGCAAGCACTTTTTCCACTGAGCTATTTCCTCAGCCTAAAAGCGTACTTTAAGGAAACCACATTCCATTGCCTTTGCCAGCAGATACCAGTCACCTGGAATTAAGTACTTCCATTTATTCATTGACTCTTGTCTGGAAATTACCTTGTGCCCACTGCTGGTCCTGGGTTCTCTCTCCTTCTGCACTGGCCACTAGAGAGGAAGCAGGCGGCATGCCTCCGCAGCGAATGGGAGGCCACAGCTCTAGAAAGAAAAGCTCTGGACTGGACCGGGATGGCTCCAGTTAGACCAGGCAGTCTCATCTGCTAATAGGAAGTTTGGTCTACACAGCTTGTATGCTGGCCTCCGGTTCTGAATGCAGATACTGTACTATGAACTCCAGACTGTGGGAGCCACTGCTAAGTGCCCTGGGCAATGGGCAAAGACTCTCTCTTTCTCTACTCTCTCTTTTTTTTAGATAGAGGGTCTCACTGTTCGGGCTGGCCCTGAACTCACTATGTAACCCAGGCAGGCCTCAAACTTCTAGTTATCCTCCTGCCTCAGCCTCCTGTGCCACAGTACCTGGCTAGTCATGGCACCTTGAACCCTCTGCTTTGGTAGCCGTGCTGAAGGGGAGAGTCTGTCTGTTTGTACCTATGAACTGCAGCCAAACCCACCACAGGGACTGATGGCCCGAGGCCCTCCCAGGCCAGCTCCGATGCTAACAAGGGCCCGTGTTCACCCTGGAGCAACGGATCCCTCGCCTGTGTGCTCTGGGTTCTGCCCAATAGTGGGTAGACTTGGGGCAACCTGAATCCCAGAATCCATTCTCTACTTCTGAGCCAATCCAATTGTCAGGACAAGGTGTAATCTGTCAAAATCAACATATAGAAATCTGGAAATGCTTGTCTTCCCGGAGCAGTCTGAAGGCCAGATGGGATCACTCCTCACTCTCCAGCCCGTCTCCTGTCACTCTAATCACTCTCCCGGATGTTCTGAATGTCTGGGCATCTATGGACCTGCCCGCCCCTCCCCAAGAAACCACAAATATATGAGAACAGATAATTGGAGTTAAGAAAGAATCCAGAACACTCCCACAGCCCCGCAAGGACCCCACAGCCCCACAAGGACCGTGGGGACAAGCTCAATACCTTCTATAAGGTCTTCGATCGCTTTCCTCACACCCCTGTCGAAGGCTCGTGCGTCAGCAGGGCTTTGGAAAGTCAGCCCAAACTTCCTGTTATCAACCTTCCAGTGATGGAAGGTCGGGTTGGCTTTAGTGTAGACCAAGTCCTTTCTGACGTAGCATTCCAGCACCACCTGAAGGATTGAAACACAGGCTGGTTACCTGCAGAACAGCCGCGATGGGGTCTGCTTACAGAAATACAGTCGCGAACAGTGAAGGGCAGGCAACTGGCACATTTCTGCTGCCCCTCTGAGCTCTTGCGAACCCCACCGTTCCAGTGCTCCTCGCCACCTCCTCTCCATCATGCCCCTTGTCCCTCTTCCTGCCCCCACTCTTGCCCCAGACAGTTATGCTGATGGGTGCACAGGTATCTGTCGCTCACCCTAAAGTCAACAGGGTCAAAAATTTTTGGGGTACAAAAATCAACCAAGTGCTGAAATCTCTACCACCATCTCCCTTCCCAACTTTTCCAAATCTGCCAAAGCAAGCCCTTTTCTCTAGTTCAAATTTTCTGTGGTCACCTTGGTCTCCTCTGCTTTCTCTGTCTCCTTGTATGCTTAACCAACAAGTTCATTTCTTTTCCCTAATGTCTTTTACACCAAATCCATTTCAGTTGCCACTACACTGATCCAGGACTCTACGAACTCTACCTTTGGATAATTAGAATGATCTCTAAGTTTCTAACTATCTACTCTCATAACTGGCTTCTGCTAAGCTAGAACTTTGATCTTTTTTTTCTCTAGGTCAAAATCCTTGATCTTTTTATTGCTAAGATGGAAATAACAAACTTATGAATGAGAACATGCTCTGAAAATGGAATAAATGAGAAACCTAATGGCCCCACTCATTCCACAGCATATTGTCATCATTTCAATGAAATATTGCATTTACCCAGTTTTTTTTTTTTTTTTTTTTGGCGGAACTGGAGAATGAACTCAGGCCCACAAGAGCTTATTCTACTGAGCCATCTCCCTGCCCCCCACCCCTTTTTCCTGTATTTCAGAACAGGGTCTGCAGGGTCTCACTACACAGATCAGACTCATAGTAATGCTCCTGTTTTCAGCCTCTCAAGTGCTGGGATTACAGGTGCGCGTCACCACACCCAGTCTTACCCAGTTGTTCTTGTTACCTTCACTGTTGAGTACCTGATTTGACATCACTCTAGTTAGTTCCATGTGCAGGAATCTTGTTCCCCTAACTAAAGGTCAAGACATAAATAACTCACTATGTCTAGTACAGTGCTCTTGGTTGAGACACCAGAGTTTATGGAATGCTACAGAATAACAGCAGCACTGCAACCGTGTGATGTAAAGTTCATTCTTTATTCATATAAAACCCAAACTGTTTACAGCATTTCTTCACATGGCTTCATTATGAACACGGCAATGGCCTTTTCTTTTCTTTTTTAGTTTGAATAGCCTTGGTCTTATTCTGGAAAAGCTTCCCAATGAACACCGTGTGATCTTATTAATTTGTGCTTTATGAAGGGGGAAAGTAAAGGCTCGCCTGAATGAATGTAAATTTAAAGAATGTGCTTAAATGAGTACAAACTTCAAGGACACACCAAAGCAAGAAGAAATTAAATGCTGCCTATCAGATGTTCTTAATAAATAAGTTAACTTAATAAATACTAATACTCAACTAGCAGTCTTGAGCAGTTAACTTTATAACACTGGATTCAAAGAGGACAACAGTCCCCTTACACAACTCTATTTATGATTAAATTGCTTATTATGGACATTTCCGCCTAAGAATAGTACAGTGATTACATGTGAGCCCCAGCCCCATTCCAAATCGGGGAAATCCAAATAACCAAGGCTTTAACTAACAAATGTTATCTATTTTAGTATTTAATAGTCTCAATTCAAAGTCTCAAAATAAAAGTTTTGCAGAAACAAAGACTCAGTTTTTCCATACTTTTAGAATGAAAAAAAAATTATCTTTGGTTGACGGGGCCAAACATTAAAATGATTTCAAAGATATATTCTCTTGGAGAGGTTTAAATAAGCTCAGCCCCTGAGCATAGGTGAGGGAGAGCCGTCAGGTATCATCTCTTTATGTCCCCTTGAGCAAACTGACATCACCACACACCTAAGTTTAACAGCAAAAATGAAGAAGTTCAGATGCTTTCACCATCATGGCAGAGAAAGCCTTCTGAAGCTCTGGTGTTCACGCAGTTAGGCATCAGCTTAAAACTAGTGGAGGGCTTTAACAAGGTATCTTTAAACAACATGCAGGTGAAGGAAGAGTGACTGTACTCTTGTTGGGAGACAATGGACACAAGAAATACTTACTGGAAGGTCAAGCAACTCAGATGAGGACGGGAAGGCTCTCACCTGTTGCCCCTTCTCCCCTTCAAAGCCTTAGTTTCTGGCATCACCCACGGCCAGACCCACATGGAAGTTTAGTGTGAGTGCATTTAAGCGTAGCTACACTTACACCTATCAACTGTTGTGCAATTTTCCCTCTATCTTCCTGGGTCTAATCCCCAGCATCAAAACCCAAAAGCAAAACCAAGAAAATGCATCTTAGAAATAGGAATAGAGAATATAGGAAGAGAATGCATAATGGCTCTTTACAGTGTTACTTCTCTGTACAGATGCAGTGGGGCTTATTCAACCTCTCTCCATGCCAATAGGCATTAGGGTTATCTGAAATTGATCACTTTATTATTATTTTTTTTTGGCGGAACCAGGGATTGAACTCAGACCCTTGCGCTTGCCAGGGAAGTGCTTATTCTACTGAGCCATCTCCCCGGCCCCTGAAATTGGTCACTTCATAGACAACACAGCGGCCTCCTGCCTTCCACATTAACAGTTCTCAGAGTTTGGTCAGGGGGCCTTGGGAGCCTGCTCCCACCTCCAGGGCCCTTCAGAGCATTGAGATGGAGGACTCTCTTCATCAGCATCATAAGGCAGTTCTTCCCTGTTTCACAGTGCTGACCTTTCTCTGGGTGGTGAAAGCAGAAGGAGCACGTAACTGCTCTGCAGAAGCATGACTCAAGGCCGTGTGGTGGCACCAATGTAGCCAGGAGAGAATGGAGACCCTTTGCTCACAGTCTCAGAAATACTAGTTTGAAGCAGAAATACGACCAGGGATTGCCAGGCAAGTGCTTCTTCTACTGAACTATCTCCCTGGCCCCTGAAGCAGAAATATTCTTAAAGAGGTAGCACTTACTTAACTAGACTTAGGTCACTGAGCACACGTCCTTTACGCAGTGGGCTGGGGAGTGCACAGAACTGCATTCTCCCCTCGGGTCTGCATCTGCGCTGGGCTGGCTGAAGGGCAAGAAGCAAGCCTGGCTTCCCACAGAGGCGCGGCAGGGACAGGGCAGCTCTTCCCGACAGCCCTTTTTCCCGCTGCATGTGGGGCACCTGTCTCAAGTATGGGCTGGACTGTTGCAGAGAACTGTGGGCCTGACTAACTGCCTGTTTCTTCTCTACTTCGCTTCTTCCGTAGCACAGGACACTGAATGAAGCCATAGCCCCAGTGCATTTTTTAAGTTCTGAGACAGGGTCTTGGCTAATTTGCCCAGGCTGGGCTTAAACTCATGATCCTCCTACCTAGGCCCCCGCGAAGGATGGAGATTACAAGTGTGTGCCACCATGTGTGGCTCCTGGCTTCTCAGATCAATATTTTTACTGAAAAAAATGACCCATTAGGGCTAATCACACCTGATCACGTGGCAGAAATTTTCTTGCAAATGAACAAGGTAGGCTTGTCACTTCAAGGAAAAAAAACCTTCAGGAATTTATTGCCAATAATAAAATTTGACCTTTCAAGTAAAAAGCAGAATTTTGGACAGCTTCCTAACAGTTAAATACTTTGCTTTTGGTGTCTGGAGACAGGGTCATGCTGTGTGGTTCAGGCTGTCCTCAAAGTTGTGGTGATACTCGTGCCCAGCCTCTTGAGTGCTAGGACCACAAATCTACACCACCACATCCAGCCTACGTACTTTTCTAGTAGTATTACAGGTGGGATTAAGAAATAATTTTTTAAAATGTAGGATGAAATGTGTCAACATCTGGAAGATCTGCTTAACTCAGTAAACCATTATTTTCTTGTTTAATTTTTAAAGTAAACTATTCCTTTCCAGATGACCAAGGAGCGTTGTACTACACAAGTCAGAATGACAATGAAAAAGACTCCTTCAAAGTTAAACCAGCTGACTTTAGTGTATGTAAGAGAGTAGGAAAAGTTCCTATTGATGGATTCCAGGTTCTTCATTTCGAAACTGCTACTGGTAGAGTTTTGATGTGGCATCAAAAATCTAAACATTGGGCTGGGAGGTGGCTCAGTGAGAGAAGTGCTTCCCTGGCAAGCCCAAGGGTCTGAGTTCAATCCCCAGTTCCGCAAAAAAAAACAACAACAACACAAAAAAACCCTAAATATATATTAAAAGGCTGATAAAATATTTTTTCCCCAGGGGGCCAGGGATATAGCTTAGTGGCACAGCACTTGTCTGGTGAGCACAAGGTTCAGAGATTGATTTCTGGTTTGAAAAAATAAAAAATAAAAAAAATCAGCCAACCAAAAATATTTCTCTTTTCCAAATACCTATCTTCATATATTTCAAACAAAATGATACAGTACAACAGATTATAACCATAAAGATATTATAATTCAGCTCTTTTCTATTAAGATTTCAAAAAATGTCAATCAATGGCACTCTTTGTGTATTACTTTTGTTCTGTAAAAACAGACACACAGTGATTTGTCAGAAAGTGTCATTTACATTAATACTGAAGAGTTTATAATTTTTCAGTTTTAATTTCTTATCTTATAAATATTAGTAGCTGTAAATCAACAAAACAAAGAACTCTCTCTAGCGTTCTCTATAAATTTTTAGAGGGTAAAGGGAGCCTGAGGCCAAAACAAGTTTAAGAACTGTTGTTACCCATACAATCTTGTGCTTAAATCTGTTTCTTTAAGATTTTTTGACATGAATTTCTAGGTAAAAGTTATGCACACTTAAAAGTAAAACCCTAACAGGGGCTGGTGAGATAGCTCAGCAAGTGCAGGGACTGGGGTTCCATCCCTGGCAACCACGTGCGGGGCTGGTCCCACCTCTAGGCGTGCTGAGCGGGCCCCAGTGCTGGGGAGGCTGAAAACAGGAGGATCATGAGTCTGAAGCGACAAGTCTGAGCTGTGTAGTGAGACCCTGTACCAAGCACATTAAGAAACAACAACAGTCACAAAACTCACCCTAACAGGGTACGATGGTACAGGCTTATAATTCCAGTATTCAGGAGGCTGAGGCAAGAGGATAGCTGTGAGTTTAAGGCTAATCTGAACTGTACAGGGAGAACTTGCCTTAGGGGAGATAAAATAAAATAAAATAAAAGTATAATCCTGACAAATTGCCTTCAAAGAACTTTGCCAGCTCAAATTCCCACCAAGTTTTGTGTGAGAATGCCTACTTACCAACACACGGGCCAACTACTAAGGCCATAAACTTGTTTAGTTTTTTAATTTCTCTTCCTAATGTGGTTTCTTATGGGATTTGTAATAATATTAAGGAATAAACTCTTCTCATCTCTCTAAAATAAGAGTCAAAATCCAGAAAGTTTTAATTTACATGTAACTTCTAATGAAAACTTAAAACATCTTCCAGCTTAGCAAAAATTATGTAACTACTTGTGAATGAAATATATGTCTGTCTTCCTATAGAAACGACAGTTAAAGCACTTGCCTGGCAAGTGTAAGGTCCTGAGTTCAATCCCCAGTACCGGAAAAAAGAAAGAAAGAAAGAAAGAAAGAAAGAAAGAAAGAAAGAAAGAAAGAAAGAAAGAACAGTTAAGCTCATGGGCCCCAATATGTAACTAAAAGTAAACACCACCAACATTCGCGCCCCCACAGAACACTGAGTGTCAGGGCTGCACTACACTGGAACCCCGACGACAAGTGCTGGGGTTATGAGACTGCCACTCTAGCCCCTCAGCAGCTCACCTCTTCACAGAACTCTCAAAAGCATCATACCCTGCCATGAGCAGAAGGGTTCTGGTTTGGTTAGGGGTCAGCAAATACTGGGTCTGAGCCTCACAAGTTGGTTACAAGTACAGGGAAACCTCTGGTGTGCACAGTATCTGGGACTGAAGCCTGGACCTTGTGCACGCGGAGCAAATATTCTACCAGCCTTTGATTTTTTTTTTTTGTTTGTTTGTTTTGGGTTTATTTTGCACGGAACTGGGGATTGAACTCAGGCCCTTATTCTTCTGAGCTATCTCCCTGGCCCCTCTATCAGCCTTTGTGATTTTTACTTTTATCTTGGAACTGGGTCTCTGTTGCCAAGGGTGGTGTCCAACTTGCTCCTGCCTTAGCTTCTTGAGAAGCTGGGCTTACAGGTACGGGTCATTGTGTTAACAAGGAATCACTCTGAGTCCTAATTTCTTTGTTATAATCGCCCATTATATGCTGTAAGCATATAATGATACAACCTGACCAGGGGGCTAACACTGAAGGTTAGATCAATGATGCCTATTTCACTTTTTGTTGAGAGTGTGGTTACGCTGCCTGCACAGAAAAATTCTCTTGAAAAATAATACTTTAATTATTTGACTAATACATAGGGAATTTCCTGAATACTTCTTAAAATTAGCTGCAGCCTCCCTCTGAATTTCCAGAAACAAGTCAGGTAGGACAACGACATTTCTGTTGATGCATATATGACAACATTTAGGAATTGTTTGTCTAGTTTGTAAGTTTTTTACACTATGAGAAGTGGTTGCAAATAAGTGCAGATTAACTTGGCCTAGTTAACCCCTAAAACCCAAAAGATGCCATTGTAGAGGGTCTCAAATGTAACACTGCCATATTCTTGTACTGCCTGCATTTCTGGGACCTGTACTGTCCTGCACACTGACCCACCAACTGGCTTCTATATATACATTTCATGATCAAGTACACTTTTATGGCCATTAATTTTTTTTAAAACATTTATTTATTTATTTATTTATATTGTGTGTGTGTGGCCAGCTCAGCCCACCAGGGGGCGGGGCTGGCTGGCATGTGGTGCTGGGGGATTGAACCGCGGTCCCTGCGCTTTGCCAAGCTTGTTCCAAGTAGGTGCTTTAGACCACTGAGCCATCTCGCCAGCCCTGGCCATTAATTTTTATTACTATAATTTTATTCATTTATGGACTTTAATTTAATTTCTTAAATTTTATTTATTTATTTATTTATTTGTGTGTGTGTGTGTGTGTGTGGCCAGCTCAGCCCACCAGGGGGCGGGGCTGGCTGACATGTGGTGCTGGGGGATTGAACTGCCGGTCCCTGTGCTTTGCTAAGCTTGTTCTAAGTAGGTGCTTTAGACCACTGAGCCATCTCACCAGCCCTGGACATTAATTTTAAAAAATCTTTTAGTTACTTATTTGGTATAGGGTCTTGCAACACAGCTCTGACTTGTAGTGATCTTTGTGTCCCAGCGACCCCAGCACTGGGATTACAGCCATGAGCCACCATGCCTGGTCTCGATGGCCAGTACTGTGTGCCCAGTGTTCCAGGGCCAGTATGGCATGTGGTCCGGGGGATCAAATTGTGGTTTTTGCACTTGCCAGACAGGCACTTAGACTGCTGAGTTATCTCCCCCTTCCCACTGGTCATTAATTTTAAAGAGTTGGACTTTCTATTTTCCTTCATATCTTAGATTCTATCATAATGTACAACTGACATCCAAGTTCCTTTTCACGAGAAGCTGTGTTATGAACTGTCAGTCACCCCACTCTAGCGAGGCAGTGATCCAAGTATTTATTTCTAAATTATCTCGGAAATACAATACCACTATGTCATTTTTCTAAACTCACTAGTTATGAAATAAAACCTACAATACCTTTTAGCTATTTACTGAGAAGGCGCCGTCAGGTGATATTCTGCCTCTGGACCTTGCCTTCTACCTCCTCAACCTTAATGAAAGCTCCATGAATAAACCCTGCATGACAGTTCAGTGTGATTATGTGATTCATTATAATAAAGAGCACACGTCTGTTCTCAATACCTTGTTACAGTGACAGAAAGAAAGACACCTTCATTAGATTAATCAAAGATGCAAACAAGATAACCAGTCTTCTAAGCATCTGAATTACATGGTATGTAGTCAAAGAAGGGGGATTATGTTTTACAATTTTTTGGGGAAAAGAAAGAGAAAGAAAGAAAGAAAGAAAGAAAGAAAGAAAGAAAGAAAGAAAGAAAGAAAGAAAGAAAGAAAGAGAAATGAAAATGAAATAATAAAATAAAACGCTGGCACCAGCCCCAGAGCTCTAACTTTGGCAGTTCCTGCCACTGTTTGAAGTCAAAGAAAAGTAAAACAAAGCAAAACAAAACAAACAACAAAACCCTAAGTGAAGAAGGCTACAGTTTTGGGTAAAGAAATCAGTCGTTGCTATTTTAACCCGAGTGCTGTACGTCTGCCATTACCAGTTTGTCTTTCTGCCGTTCACCATGGATGAGAAAGCCACTTCGTCCGTTGCCTTCAGGGTTCATGACCTTACAGACCCCGACGCGACTGAGCCCGCCTCCTTCCTGTGGGAACCATCCCCCGCTGGAGTCATCTCTGGTCATAACCACAGCCTTGACACGCACAATATAGCTGTCACTAAAACGACAACAAGAAGAACGGGGCATGACAATGGTCTGGTAGCTGCAGAACATGTTCACAATGCAGGAGGCCCACCAGTCTGGGCCTCTCTGACTTGTCTGCAGGTGATCAGCGCCTGGCGAAGCCTTGACAGGCAGCCCAGTGCAAGTCTTAGGGGAAAAAACACGTAAACACATAAGCATTAACAACAAAATCAATGAGCCGGTCTCTTTAGTTCTAAGTTGGAAAGACAAACTTATTACCTGAAGAGGGAATTATGGCTTCAACCCTTTAAATTGTAGTTTATAATGAGTGACCAATCTTAGTATTTTTACAAAGCTAGTAATTTATTTACCACAAGACAATCAATTTGACAAATTCTCCATGTAATTGTCTATATAGGCAGCTACTTTCAAGTTACTCTACACAGTGGTCACCTTCCATTTGTGATTTTATTTTATTTTTTTACTTTAAAACTTCCATTTCACAATAAGTTCTTTTGCACCTTTGCTAAAAATTCTTTCTCCTCCAGAGACTGAGGCTAGTTTCTTTCTATTCTTCATCATTTTGGGGAAAATTTATTTGGATTTTCAACAAGGCCATTAAATTCTCACCTGGTGTTTTCTTTGGCTAGAATTCATTTTTTTTACCCATTCAAATGTATATTCGCATTTCGTGTACACCAGGCGTGGCGCCAGACTGTAGGTCCACAGAGATGCAGGGTAACAGAGAACCTCTTGTTCTTCAGGTCCCAGGGAAGAGGACTTGGAGCCTGGCAGCCACGATGAGCTGGAGACTGTGGGGACAAATCCCTGGGTCCCACGACCCCACTCTCTTCCTTCTCCACGAGAGGCAAAAACCACTGTGATTTTTCCTGGATCTTCCACGCCTCAGCCTCCACTGACACTCAGTTACCCAACAGCTCCACTTATCTTCCTAATTGCCTTTGGACAAATTTCTTCGTTTTTTAAAAAATGTGGCAAAACTTGAAAGTCAGGCATAGGGGTGCGTGCCTGTCATGCTGGCACTGGGGAGGTCGAGAGGCTAGAGGATTGCGAGCTGGAGGCCACCCTGGACTAAGGAGCGAGACCTTATCTTCAAGCACCAAAAGGTAGGTAAAATGTCACATAAAATCGAACATTTATTTTTAAAACCTACAGCAACTGGGCCCAGCCCTGTTCAGTTTCTGAGACTGGTGAGCTCAGGTGAGTTCACAGGGCGGGATGAGCAGGGACAAAATCTATTTTAAGTATACAACTCAGTGGCATTAATTACATCCCTCCTGCTGTGCACCCATCAGTCCCAAGACAGCTCCGGAATTGTGTACTATCCCAAGCTGAAACCCCATTCGCCCTAAACACTATCTCCGGCTTTGTCCTCCCCACACCTCAGCCCAACAACCATGGCTGTACTTTCCTGGCCCTAGGAAGCTGACCCTACAATCCCTTCCCCGTCATAACCCGGATGGAATGAAAGGCACTGTGCAGCTGGCCACCAGCCTCCAGGGGCTGCTCCTTCTCCCCGAAGCTCACCCTCCTTCAGTTCCTCTGAAGGGTCATTGCCACTGGCCATGACCCTTGGCACCGTTCCATAGCTCTGCCCCACTGCCCCGTGGGTGCGTGAAGAGGGTAACAACCAGGTTACCACCCTCCTCTGTCTTCTGGAAGCCCTGTACTGTCGCTTCCTTACTGATTCTAAGGACCCTGCAGCTTCCTTGGCTACAACTTCTGGGATTCTGCTCTACTGCCTCTGTCTTGTACCCAACTGCAGCCACCCAGGCCCACGTCCAGCCTTGACTTGTCACCATCACTGCACCACCTTCCTCTCGTCCCACTGGAGCAGGCAGTCTGGTGACCACCGTTACCTAGCTCTCCACGCCCCTGCGGTCCCCACTGCCTCTCCTGTCCCAGCTCTGCCTCCAACCTCAGTTCCTCGGTCTATCACAGAGCACAACTCCATTCCCATGACCACTGTTTCCTCACCGCAGCTCCCTGGCACAACCCAACCAGAGAACCCTGCCATCCACCCACGCCACGCTTCCACCCAGCCCGCAGAATGTGGTGAGAGGCCCAAACTGCACTCTGCTGTCTCAGGGTCTCATTTCCAAGTCATAACCACTAACCCTGAGTGGGTCCTAGTGGCCTGGTGGCATCCTGTGTGTGCCCATTCCGTCCCCAAGATGACCACTTCCTGCAGCCTCTTGCCCCCCAAGAACACAGGTTAGCTGGTTTTGGCCACACTGGGAAACAGACTCAGGCAGAAGAGCCCCACGCTGCGCCCACCACCACACCTGAGGCTCTCGTACTGTACCCAAGGGTCCCTCTGCTCACCAGACCCAGTCCCTCCATGCCAACTGTGCCTACATCTCACCTGTCTGGGCCTCTCCCTTGACCCCAGAACAGTAAGCCACCACCTCAGACCTGGGTCGCCACTTGGGGACCTCACAGGCAGCACAGACTGTATCAGGTTGGATCCTTGGTTCCAAGCCCTTCCTGAAGCCTCCTGGCTCTCCCTTCACAGTATACCCAGAGGTTACTCGTTATTAACTCCACCCACCCTGCCCCGACTCTAGCTCCCCTTACTTTCCACAGAGATGATAGAAACCCCCTCTGAGTTGACATCTGTACCTTCATGTTTGCCCAGCCTTCCCAGAATACAGAAGTCGGTCAGATCAGGTTCCTACTAAATAAGCCCTCATGAGGTTTCCTTTATCGTTCCGAGTAAAAGCCAAAATCTTATTCGTCTTAGCACTCTCCTGTCTGCGCGTTCCTCCTCAGTACCACTGAGCTCCACAGCAGATATGCGCCTGCCACAGGACCTTGCTCTTGCTCTCATTTCTACTTAAACTTCTCCTTCCCGCCGTTATCCCCCCATACCACGTAGATTTCCCTGTCTTATTTTATTCAGGTCTCTGCTCAAGCTATTTCATGAAAGCCTTCCCTGTTCACTCTGTGAAGAGGCACCCTCTCTACCTCTCTTACATATTCTTGCCTGGCAAGGCCTGTGATCTATTTGTTTGCCTAATAAGAGGTCAATTACACGAGACCAAGGACTTTGTCTTTTTTGTTGACTCCTGCAGCCTGAGAACTTTAGAGTGGTGTTTGGTATGTTAATAAGCTGTGGACTGAATGGGTTAAATACATAAATAATCAGAAATTTAAAAATGTATTTAAAAGCCAGTTGTGTTGGTTTGCACCTGTAATCCCAGAGCCTGGGAGGCTGAGGGAGGAGGACTGCCACGTCTGAAGCCAGTGGGAGCTACATGGTGAGTTCAAAGCCAGTCTGGATGCTATAGCTCAAACAAACAAACAAACAAACAAACAAAACACCCCCCAAAAAACATATTTATGGCTAATGGAATCCATGTAACAGTGTTGGCCCTCAATTACTTAGGAACTACAAAGGCTTAGCTGGGATAAACTAGGTGGGTATCACAGGTTGCATTTGTACAGACACACGCACAGGTCACATGTGTACAACTATCAGTGATCCACATACCTCAGGATTCAGTGTGCGGATTCCTTGGGATGCTCAAGGTTAGGAACATTTGTCAGGGAGACAGCTCAATGGCATACATGCCTGCCTGGCAAGTGCAAAGTCCCGAGTTTGATCCCAGATACGGGGTGGGGAGTGGGGCAGCTCAGGATTAGGAACATCTGAGAATACTTGTGTAATTAAGTTTAGTTTTTATTTTTATATTTTTGTACCAGGGATTGGGATCCAACTAAGGGCCTTGCACTTGCCAGGTAGGCGCTTAAGCCACTGAGCTATCTCCCTGGCCCCCAGTTCAGAACTTCATGTTTTCTTTCTCCTATACCCCATTAACTAAATGTCCTCCAGTCTTACTGCTCCAGTGTCCAAATGATGCCTCTAGGAGTACAACAATGGGCTCAGCCTCACAGGAGACGTCCAAGGGGAGAACCTGACACCCTACCCACATCTGATCTCCTTGTGTTGTTTGTTTAAAGGCCACTGACTTAAGCCTTTGGTGTTGCAGCATCCTCTCTGACTTGATTCTGTCTAGCAAGCCCCTTCCCCAGCAGATTTCCCTGTGATGGGATGGGTGGCAAAGAGGATACAGGGTGGGCAGGGAGGTCCCCAGAGATGCCCCTCGGTCTCCCTCATCAGCCATGCCCACAGCCAGCATGAATTGAAGCATCTGGCTACTTAACACAAGGCAGGGGCATGTAGCGCTGTGCCCGAAGCCAGGCAGGCTGTCTGGATAGTCCAGCTGCATGGCTGTGTGCCAAAGGTTTACTATGTGCAGTACACGGACACGACAGGGCACTGTACTCCACCCAGAGCAGAAAGGACAATGACCTCAACTACCACAAGCTATAAAGGAGGAAACCCTACCCCCTCTGTCTGAAAAGAATTAAACAACATCTGCTTAAAACAGTTGAGGGTACTGTTGGGGGCAGGGAGCAGGGAGGGAAGGTCAGATTGATTTTTTTTTTTTTTAATTTGCAAAAGGAAAATACATGCTGCTTGGTTAGGCAGGAGATTAGGGTGTGGCAGACTGGCTGGGGAATCAGAGGGGCTCTGTTAATTACAAAGTTTCAGGACACACGTGCAGAGCAGTTCTCCGAGACCTCAAGCAAGTTTTCCAGAGGATGGGCCTGACCTGGCATCAGCCGGACAACTGGACACACATGGAGGACCATTACCACTGGGCTCTGCCAGTGCTGTGTTCTCTCATCCATGGATAACAGTTCACTCTCACTCTGTACAGTGTACTTTCCCCTACTTTCAGTTGGCCCAAACTCCTTCTGCAGTTTCTGTCTCTCTTTTGGAGACAATGTCTCATAATATAGTTCAGGTTGACCTCTAAGTCACAGAGATCCTCCTGCCTCAGCCTCCTGAGTGCTGGGTTATAGACACACACCACCACTCTTGGCCCACCGAGCATTTCTTGTCCCATCTTTATTGTAAAACCTTGCTACCTTTTATGCTTGTTTTTTTTTTTTTTTTTTTTTTTTTTTTTTTTTTTAACAGTACTAGGGATTGAACTCATGATC